TAATCATCCTGGTGTTTCCCAAGACATCTATCCATCAGGTGCTGACAGAAGCAAGTTTTCCAACCGCAAAGCAAATCTACTACTCCGTGTGCTTTTCACCTGTATGTATAAGCAGGACAGTATCTTAGTGCTGGCCAGATTTATGGGGCATCCCGTGGGGAACTTTGTTAAGCTGGTAGCAGTCAGTGGTCATTCCCCAAAGCCAAGGCCCTATTGGCCACTGAAAACCAATGAGTCCGCTCCCTGTAACAGAAGCATCCAGAACAGCCATGACCACAAAAGACGCATCTGCCCCAAGGGAGAACTGGCCCCTGAGGAGAAGGTTTTTCTGAGAAATCTAGAAGAAAATTTAAAATGCCAGGATTCATTGTCTCTCTGTCTAACCCCATATTCCAGCTAGGAGCTGGTTCTCAGCTAGGAGTGATTCTACCAACAAGGGACAAATCTGGAGTCTTTTTTAGTGACTACAAATTCCGAAGGGAGATGTCACCGGTATCTAGTGAAAGAAGGCCAGGAATGCTGCTAAGCATCTTACAAGGTTACCAAGTGAGTACCTGCCTCTGGATGTTTGGTATCTTCACAAGATGGCTTCCCTGGCCTTCCAGAGCTCATGACAGTAGAGAAGGGAGTTCAACTCGTTTCCACATAAATTTCATGATTGTCTAATTAACTCAAATGAAAACAAAACCTTTTCCTCCAACTGGTGCATATGTATGAATGAATGAATGAACTAATGAACCCACTGATAAATGTGGACTGAAACATGAACCTGGTTTCACGTTGCTAGAGAATCTCAGCCCACATGGCTCTAGACAAAGGAATGAGAGGGAGGTCCAAGCTCCCAAGCTCCACAGAGAATTGAGGGAAAGAAGGTGCCTTCTCCACGAGGGCTTTCTTTCCACTGGTAACCCCAAAATACTTGTAAGCCTCCGAGTTTTGATCATCTCAAAATGTCACTTACCCCTCTATCTAGGAGAACTTTAAGAGAGGAGTAACAATCTGAGACCTAGACTGTGCTTTTTCTAGAACTAGGGAGAGCCACATAGTTACACAGAAGACAACAGGAAGTTGTCATGAAATTACTGGGCCTGACAGGAGCTCTGATTCTTCCCTGAACCTCTGGGGACTGGGCCAGCCTCTTTTCACAGCCTCAGTTTCCTCCTCTATGAACTAATTCACCTGCCTGGCTCCCTTTACACTCCTCATGATATGTAGACCATTTTCTAGATTCCTGCTACCTGTTTTCCTCTTTCCTGTCTCTTTCCTGTAACTCTGTTCCCTCCACACCACAATCGCCCAGGGACAGAACCTTCTTCTGAAGCATGTGGAAATTAGGTTTGCCCTCTCCCTTCTTCTTCCCTTCTTCCTCCACCCCCTCCCACACATACATACACACACATACACTTCTCTGTGTGTGTGTCACGCTCAGCCCTAAAATTCTATTAATAGATGGGTCCCAAGTTACTTTTCTTTAAATTTTTACAAGTCCAGAAATCCCTGGCACACAGTGGGGCTTCAATAAATATTGGTTGGGAAATGAGTAAACCTTCAAGGGACGTTCCTTCCAGACAGGAAAGCACACGACCAGCACAAGCAAAATGAGCTTTGCACCACTGTACACTCAGAACCAACAAAGAGGACAGGTCTACCAGTGCCCCCGCTCCCCCAGCCACCTTCTCTGCCTGCAAAACAGTTCCTGGCTCTGAATTTCCAACAGGAGATTTCAAGTGAGGGAAATGAGGAGAGGCTGAGATTAACCAGAATTGTTATCAGTAATAAAACTCACTGCTTCTCAATTTGCTTGTCTTCCTTTTTTTAAATCCCTCTTCTTCTTCTATTTACTTTTTCTTCTTCGGACTTACTGAAGCAAGTTTCTAAGGTAAGAAGGGAATTGGGAGGTGAGGCGAGTAGGAGGAGCCAGAGAGGTTGAGGCTGACCTCTCTGTGACGTGGTTGTATTTTTAATGAAATCTCATCCCACTGTAGATGCTACGTCTGGAATTATGATCCACCCTGTGATCTGTCACTTTTATGTATATATATAAAAATTATACACACACACACACACACACACACACACACACACACACACACGGGAGAGGAGTGGTTTCCATAGAGAGAGAATATCACAGCTCACTCGCAAACAATACCAGAGAAGGAGCGGCGACCCCAAAGCAAGCAGAAGTTCTGCCGGGAGCAGATCTCAGAAGCTGTGCCTGCTGCCCTGAACATTTCCACTCCAGAGCGAAGTCTACCCACAGGTAAGGCTGTCCTGGCACTGACTTATGAAGGATGACTGCGTTTGGGCAGTGCTGTGTACTGGACAGGTGAGGGGTGGCAGTTTCTAGCATGCCTAGGTGGGAGTCCAGGAAAGAGGATTAAGCCCATGCCCTGTCTATTTTAAATCAACAGAAATGGACTCCAAAGATGTCGGGGTATGGGGGGGATGTTTCTCAAGGGGCAAAATGATCTGAACTTGGATGATACAGAGACCTGATTTGCAAAAGATGATAGCACAGAAGCAGAGTGTGTCGTCTCAGAAGATTTCAGCTGTGGACGGGAAAAGCAGACTATAGTAACAGTTAGCAGGCTGGAGCCTGGTTGTAGATGGCAACAGGGACGGGGGGGAGATGGGATAGAACAGCAGGACTTTATTCCAGAGCATCTGCAGGACAGTGAGGATGTTTTGTATTTCCCGGTTAGCATGTACCAGAAGCCTTTACCCACAGCATCTCCTTTTATTTCCAAATATACCTGAAAGACAGGTAACTCAGCAAGCCAAGTAAAGTCAGTTCAGAACTTAAGCACCTCACTCAAGGCAAGTAAGAAGTGAGGCTGTTATTAAGCCCAGAGTCTCTTCCACCTTGCTATCTGACCTGAGTGCTACCAGGGAAGGGGAGGGAATATACACATGGGTGTTTGATGTCTACCTTTGATACTCACGTTTTTCTGGGTAATTCTATATTCCATATGCCCCTCCCCAAACATAGCTATCTAGAAAAATTAAGCTTCTCTGAAAATAGAATAATTAAGATACCATTGTGGTCTATAACATAACATATTCTCCAAGAGAGTTTTCTTTCTTTCTTCAGGTGAAGGGTCTCTTGTGTATAAACCCCTACTTTTCACTTTTAGGGTGCGATGCTTGTAAGTTCTGTGTAGGTATGTATTTCACATAAATCTTTCTATATCTCAAACATTTCCCAAAGCTTACTACTCCAAGGCTTTCCAGAATGCTGAAGAGTTTGTTTGCTAGATTCTAGCTTCACAAAGTAGTTTAAATCTTTTAGTTCAATTTCTTATCAGCAATTGCAGACATGCTATATACCATGTGGACACTGGCTCAGCCTTTATCATCTCACTTGTGAAGTTGTGCAGTCTTAACCATTCACTGCCTGGCTTCTTTGGCTTGTCCATTGCATTCTCTCCTTGATAGGTGCTGCATGGGAGGCTAGTGCAATCCTTCTCGGTCACACATTTTTAAGCTTGATCTTGTCCCAGCTCTCTTAAGTAACTCTGTCTCTTTAAAGTATCTCAAAGAGGTAATATAATATTCCATGCCTCTACGGTTTTAGTTGGGTAGAGGACTCCTGGGCAGGTAGATCCCCGTGTTAAATCATGCTAAGAGGGCAGTCAATATAAGCAGAGATCAAGTGTGAAATGGACTTGGATACAATGTGCATTGAGTCCTTGGCGACATTTGCATTCTTCCTGAAAATTCCAGGTGATTAAAATGACTGCACAGCACTGTCAATACAGGAAGGGGAGAAGGAAGCAGTGTTGTTTTGCCTGTTGCCTGGGACTAGTCTCCAGCACTTTTAGTAAGAATACTTAATGGAGGTAACCCCACAAGATAGAATGGACAAGAACAACTCCAAGGCTGCACCCTCAAATCCCCCCATCCTCTTACACTGGTGAAAACAGAGACATCATATCATTCTCCAAATCCTTTTTGGAAAGCAGCCTCTTGCTTTCAGAAATAGAAAAAGAAAAGCCAGGCACTGGTGGCTCATACCTGTAATCCTAGCTACTCAGAAGGCTGATATCTGAGGATCAAGGTTCGAGGCCAGCCCAAGCAGAAAAGTCTATGAGTCTCTTATCTCCAGTTAGTCACTAGGAAACCAGAAGTGGAGCTGTGGCTCAGAGTGATAGAGCACTAGCTTTGGGCAAAAGAAGCTCAGTGACAGTGTGCAGGTCCTGAGTTCAAACCCTAGGACCAGAACAAAAAGAAAAGAAATAAAATATAGAAGACAAAGAAAAGAAATCCTTACAGCCAATTCTCTGCCCTAGATGAGAGCATCTACCATATAGAAGTTCTACAGAAAACTGTATAAAGTATGTATGCATATGTTTCAGTGTGTATTATATGCAGGTGCATGTGTGTATGTGGATGTACATATGCATGTTGTGAAATATGCTAACATACCTGATGATCAATCTTAAATAAAATGTGCCTCAAAAACACTGGCTGGCTATCTAACCACAATTGTTAAGCAATAACAATATATGTGTACACACACACACACACACACACACACACACACACACACATATTCAATCAGTCTGTTGATAAGAAACCAAAATCCACTTGCTATGAAAATCAACCTAGACAGACAGCTAAAATTCTTACTTAACACACATGTCATTGTCCTTCATGGCCAGTGGCTACCTGAAGAGCAGAATTAAATTATAACCATAAACACTAGCAGAGCAATGGTTCTCAGACCATAGAGATCTTTAGGACCCTTGGAATGGGTTTGTTGAAATTCGCCTTGCTGAGATGTGGGGGTTTTGATTTGTTCATTCCAAGGAAAACGCTGTTATGCATTTCTGACAAATTCTCAAGTGACAGTGAGGCTGTTTGTCTAGGGACCAACTGTGAGAATCTTCATAGTAGAACGTGAACAACACCCAAATGGGTATCACTCCATAACTGATGGAGCCCTGAGCCCCTCCCCACATCTCTCCTTTCTACATCTCTCCCTTCTACTCCAGGGAGACATGCTGATGCCAGCTTACTTCCTGCTCTTCCTACTGCTACTCCTGGGAGGGCCCAGGACAGGCCTCTCCCACAAGTTCTACAAAGCTGGGCCGGTCTTCAGCTGCCTCAACACAGCCTTGTCTGAGATCAAGAAGAATCAACTGGAGGATGAGAGCCTGCTGAGCAAGAGGGCCTTCTACCCCCTGCCCAGTCAAGATCCATCTTCAGGAGAGAAGGAGGAGGAAAGGCAAGACAGGGCCAAAAGGACTTTCCTTGGCTCTGGGAGTGGGGGCGGAGCTGGAAATGCCAGGTACAAGTACACAGCCCAGGCACAGCACAAAGGGAAGCTGTCCCAGGACAAGGCCAAAAGCGACCGTCGCACCAAGTTCACCCTGTCCCTCGACGTACCCACTAACATCATGAACATCCTCTTTGACATTGCCAAGGCCAAGAACTTGAGGGCTAAGGCTGCTGCCAATGCCCACCTGATGGCTCAGATTGGGAGGAAGAAGTAGAAGAGGCCGAGCAGGAGGGAAGCACAGTCAGGACAGGGGTTCAGGGTAGGGAGTGAGCTGGTGTGGCGCATGTGCCATTGTATGTTCTGAGACTGGTCCAATTTCACAGGCTGCAGGGCCCCTCCACTTCTTTCCTGCCACCAACTCAGTTTCCCTTCTCCTCTGTAAATACACACAGAAGTATTGTTCAACCTGTGCAGACAGTGAAGGCTAAGGCCTCTCCTTGTATCCTGTGTTTCCATTCACCCTCCCTGTTGGCCCAGAAAAGGGCATTCAGAGCTCCCTCTGCTTTCCACACATGAACCCTGACCAGGGCAGAGAGATGAGAGGATGTGTTGCTCGCCATCTTCCATCTGGCCTCCGAAACCCTTCCTTACCTTTTCAACCCCATTAAAACCATTCTTGAACTGACTTGTTTCCGGTCCTCTTCCTTTAAAACTCTGAGCTTCAAGCAACAAAGGTTAGGGAAGGGGGTTCCTGGTGGGTTGATTTTTCTGTTTCTCCTAAGAAGGGTATGGTTCTGGGAGATCTTAAGAAGGATTAAAGGGCTGGGCACCGGTGGTTCACGCCTGTAATCCTAGCTACTCAGAGGCTGAGATCTGAGGATCATGGCTCAAAGCTATCTCAGGCAGGAAAGTCTATGAGACTCTTATCTCCAATAAACCATCAGAAAACCAGAAGTGGTGCTGTAGCTCAAGTGGTAGGGCACTTGCTTTGAGCTGAAGAGCTGAGGGACAGCGCTCAGGCTCAGAGTTCAAGCCCACAACCAACAAAAAAAAAAAAAGGAATAAAGGCAAAGTTGAGAGTAGGTCAGCTTTTGCCACTCAATCTAAAGCCATCTGCATGGCCTCAATCTAAAGCCCATGTAAGGCCATAACTTGGGGTTTGTGTCAGGATTGGCTTGGGGGCTGAACTGGAGAGAATCTTGGCATATCACAATCTCCTTTGCAGCTTGCCTAGGGTATGGGACTGCCAATTCTTTTTGGAGTTCTTACTGAACCTACTTACCTGCCTAGCACTGAGCGAGTGGCAAGGCCTTTGTGCTCTAAGTAGAGAGAACCAAATTCATTACTTGACTTATGGACTGGTAGCTCCAATGTACATCACCCTTATAGTAACAATAAAAATATATACAAAACAAACCCACAGACAGTATGCAAGTGATGAACTGAAAAGTGATGACAATTAATATATACATATGGGATTTAGATATGGAAGCATTTAATATGAGCAAAATTCAACTAAAAGTGATTATCAGGAGGGACTGTAAAGGTTTCCTGGCAGAAAACCCAAGAGCTAGATTCTCAAAAGACAGACCATGGCTCCACTCACATCTTACTAGTGGCAAATCACTAATTAAAAACATGAGCTTCTTGAGAGGTACCAGTGGCTCATACCCATAATCCTTGCTACTCAGGAGGCTGAGATGTGAGGATTGTGGTTTACAGCCAGGTGGGTCAGAAAATTTCACAAAATTTTCATCTTCAGTTAGTCAGCAAAATGCTGCAGTAGTAGAGCTCCAGGTGTGAGTGAAAAAGCTGAGCCAGAGAGAGCAAGGCTCTAAGTTCAAGCACTTGTAAGGTAACATACACACACACACACACACACACACACACACACACACTAGCAACTAGCACCACCGTCATCACCAGAAACAAAGTCAAAAGACGGATGAATGACATATTTGGAGAACTGTGTGCCACATATGTAAAAATGAAATGGAGAGCCGCAATCCTCAGCTCTCACCCTCCTGAGTACATATAGTTACAGGCATGAGCCATGGAAGCCCATCTTATTCAGTAATTGAAGCTTCCGTTTAACCGGCACTGGTAGAATGTTTCCTGGCATTGCTAGATGCTTTATCTTTTTTGATGTGTAATAAAAGAGAGTTAGTTTTCAATATACATATATAGATATATACACCTATAATATCAATATATTCTTATGTATATACTTATTTATGTGTGTATATATACACAAACTATAAGATGACAACCAATGATAGGAACTCTAACCAAATGCTATAAGAATGTTATCTCATTTAATTTGAACAAGCATAATTCAAAGTCATCATTTTTCCCATGAAAGATGGATATTGAGGCCCAGGTAGAACATGACTTTAATATTAACAGAGTCACATCTGTCTGGTCCCAAATCTTCTCATCCTTCCATAAATAGCTGCTGATCCTTGACTCGTACAAAGAACACCAAATACATCCACACCTCACATGCCATCATTCGGCTATGATATGAACTAGAAATGTGGAGGTGGCCAGAAGAGCCCACCGTGCAGATGCTGGTTAAGATTATGCCCCCAATAGGCATGTCTGGTATTCATCTTCTTTGCAGTGCCTTATAGATTACTATAGTGTACAGATGATTAATAAACTTGGGTGAGTTAGCCAAAGCTGAAACCTGCCAGCAATAGCTGGTAAAGCTCCCCAATTCCTATTGGACAGCAAGTTCTGCATTCTATCTGCAAAAATCAACCCTGCTTTGCAAACAAACAGTGCCTCTGGGCATATGCTCCTACCATCAGCAATGCATACTGATATGGCCACATCCAAAGGCCAACACTGTTTTTTATCTACAACTGCCCCCTCCCCCTGACTTCACTGTGTGACCCTCCTGTGGGTGGGGTAAAGGAGAATTGGTGTCAATTCCTGTTTTCTTAAAAGGAAGAAAACCAATGCCGGATCCTCCTGCCTTCTCCTCAGTTAGGAAAGGACAGATAGAAAGCACAGGAATGCACTCACCTGTCACAAGAATCAAGCAATTCAACTTGCTAGTGAATTCCTGTGACTAAAGAGTTTTATTTTTCCCCTAGAAAATAAAAGGACAGGGCTAGGAATGTGGCTTAGTGGAAGCATGCTTGCTTAGCACCCATGAAGCCCTGGGTTTGATTCCTCTGCACCGCATACACAGAAACCCAGCAACCCACTAGTGAGTCAGAGAGCAGGCTCTCCATGAACTTTGACTGCAACTTTTGCAAGTTCTTGGTGTATAATAAGTTGCCATTTTCCTCAGACACAATTTTGAATTACTCTGCAAGGCTGATGTGCACGAAAAATTTAATTATTCAGTGAAGAAGCCTAGCCAATTATCCAGTGTCCATGCCCCAAGCACACTGAGTTGCTTTCTACTAATGATCACACACACACAACATGTCATAACAGGTTCAAAAGGGGCCACTTAGGTTTTCTAAATGTAACTGTATCCTGCAGAGGAAATTACTGATCAAGGTAGCCAGGCACAAAGGTCTGAGGTTTTTCTCTTTATTTGATTGGTTTTATTTATTAGAGCACCACCTGGTTCTGTGACCTCCACTGAAACATCAGAACATAGAGAAAGTGTCCTGAAGCCCTAACAAGGTGTAAGCCAATGCTACTTGCTTTGGTTCATACCTTATACAGTATAACTGACTTATAGATCCTGTTCCCCACAGTATAAACTCCATGGCAGTGGGAATTTTTTGTTTGTTTGCTGTTGTAGCCACAATGGTTAAAATAACAATGATGAGCATCTGTCAGGTGCTTATGAATAATAATTTAATAAGAATTATTGAAATTTCTGTGATAAAGAGGCATATAGGTGTGGCATTCAAAGTGCAGAATGTATACTATTTAAGAGCATTGGGTTTAATAGATGGATGTTAAATTTTGATATTCCTATATTAAAATACATAAGTTTTATAAATGTGCACTTGTGATCTTAAGTAAAACTCTTACTAGTTTGCATATAGTTTGGGAACACGTAAGTGTGCTTATCATACTTGTGGCTTAAACGATCAGATATTAAAATAATTATTTAGGGTACCTGATAAAGTTTGCCAGACAATTAGAGTAATTAAAATATGATATCCTGTAACCCAGTACTCAGGTAGGGTAGGAGGAACTGGCATTTAGGGCCAACTTGACATAGCAAGAATCTGTCTCAAAGGGTGGGAGGAACACTTTAACTTTATATTTAATCTAAACAATGTAGTAACATTTATCTAAGACCAAAAAATTCATGCACATCTCCTTATAAAGTGATGTTACACATTTTCCAGACAGATAGGCGAGAATAATGGAGGGGTAACATTAAGATGCATTGTCCTCTTGAACAGACGTGGTGAACTGGAACTCCTTTATAAGATTTTTAAAAAAAATAAAAGCTGGGCTGGGAAGGTGGCTCAGTGGTAGAGCGCTTGCCTTGCATGCCTGAGTCCCTGGGTTGGATTCCTCAGCACCACATAAGCAAAAAGAAAAAAAGCCGGAAGTGGCGCTATGGCTCAGGTGGTAGAGCGCTAGCCTTGAGCTAGCTGAAGAGCTGAGGGACAGCGCCCAGGCCCAGAGTTCAGGCCTCACGACCGGACCCAAAAATAATAATAAATAAAATAAAAGCTATGGCTTCCTCTCTCTCTCTCTCTCTCTCACACACACACACACACACACACACACACACACACACACACACACACACACACACAGAGCAGTGGTATTTAAGTATTTCACTAGTGCCCTCCAGTGGCTAATAGTAGAAACAACCCACGAACATTAAAGGAAATTTTTTATAATTTTAAATTTAAAAAAAAAAGTCTAACAAAACTGTGAACTCTAGAACAAGTTGCTATAGAGGTTTTCTTCCCATGACTAAATAATGAGCCAGCAATCCATGCCAATCTCTATTGGAAGGGAAGATCACAAAATCATTCCTTTGGTTTTTATTTTTACTTTATTCTTAATGCTTGATCATAGCAAAAACAAACAAACTAAAGAGCACTTTCTTTTTCCTGTCACTATACCTGAAATCCTGACACATGTCCAAACAGGCACATTTAAAACCTCTTAGCATGGGGCTGTCTTAATGTTAATAGCCAGCCCTCTGCCAAAACTTGGTCTGTACAAATATTAATACAACTTGGAACACAGCGTCCACAGGGGATTAAGCAAAACTGCTGCCCAGCATGTTTTCTCTGCAGGAAAGCCCAGGCCTTTGTGGGTGTTGAAAATTATCTAGATATCATTTCTCCCAAACTGCGTTCATCACCCTCCAAGAGGACAATTATTCCAGGTGAAAATATGCAACGTGGTTCGCTGTCTGAGTGGCATTCTTGATGAGCATATCTCACGGAGGGATTTTAGAAGATAAAAGAATACTAGGAAAACTATAGAAATAGAGGTCAGGATCTCTACTCAATGTTTCTGTGAACCTAAAACTATTCTTTAAAACACTTTATTATACCATTTTTAAAAGGTCACTTTTTAGGTAACGTGGTACAAGCCCAAGGCTCATGGTTTGTATGCATGTAGCCTTGTAGTCTCACAAAGACACAACTTCAGGTCTCCTCCAGTTGGTGCTTGAGCACCTGCTACCTTCAGTTCTTCACTTGGGCCAAAAGTACTACTGTGCTGAGGCCAAGAGAACATACCTGGCTGGGGGGGGGGGGGGGTAGGGGGAGGAGGAAAGGGGGAGAATGAAAGTAAAGCAACACCAAGGAGCGAAGTCCTGATTGTCAGCTCAAAGCAATGCCTAAATCCAAGAATGCAGCTTCAATATTTAGTTCACATTCATTCCAACTCATCACACTAAAGTCTTTGAGTATGTTTATAGCTATTTTTTTTCTGTAGTACATTCTTGTTTAGAATGACATGTTGGCACCAACAATTAATTCCATTAAGTGCTCTTTAAATATCAAATCCCTTCCCAGTCTCCAGGGTTCTCCTTTAGTAGTTGTTCAGTGACGCTCAGAACCTCTGTTTTTGTCAATCCTCTGGTGTGACTCAGATGACAGCTTCTGCCAGACACGTGTGTGTGTGTGTGTGTGTGTGTGTGTGTGCGTGCAGGTTTTGGGGCTTGAATTCAGGACCTGGGCACTGTCCCTGAGCTTTTTTGCCCAAGGCTAGCACTCTACCACTTGAGATACAACTCCATTTCCAGCTTTTTGATGGTTAGTTGGAGTTAAGAGTCTCAAGGATTTTTCTTCCCAGGCTGGCTTTTCCTCTTGAGTAGCTAGGATTACAGGCATGAGTTGTAATGCTGGCTTTTGAGAATGTCTCCTTCATGACAGAACAGGAAAGGTGACTGACTTTCTCAACTGGAGAACACCAAGTTTTATCAATACCCAGAAATATTTTCATGGTTTTTGTGAAAAACAAACTGAGATCTTCAGGCATCCTTTGGGAAGAAGGAAAACAGAACATATTGGAAATATCTGTGATTTAATCAATGTATCAAATATAGCCATAGGGAAAATAACATCCATAATTTTCCTTCTCAGGTACAGGAAAAGAAGAGCTTTAGAATGTTATAGACTCTCAACATTAAAGAACAAAGCAAAGTCGGGTTTGTACTCTGACATAGAAACTACAACACAAACAAAAAAACACTCCACCTAAAAGTGCCTCAGTAGTTCAAAGGACTCCAAACCCCAGAAAGCTCTTGGGTAACATATCTAAATAACATTGTAGATGAAGGCACATGTGAAAATTACTAATACAGAAATAATTAGGCTTGGGACTGATTTGTGTTTTCTTCTAATCAACAGGACCCCACTCACTAAGCCGAGGATGGCTTGAGAAGAAAGCATGATATTTTCATTTAAGGTGCCTTTGTGGCACCTGTCATGTTGGCATCAGAAACTCAATCCCACTTCTTCATAATCCCTCTCCAGAACTGCCAAATCTTCCCTGGCCTCTGAGAACTCCCCTTGCTCCATGCCTTCTGTGATGTACCAATGCAGAAACGCCTTCTTGGCATACATAAGGTCAAACTTGTGGTCCAGCCGGGCCCAGGCCTCCACAATGCCCGTAGTGTTACTCAGCATGCAGACTGCCCTCTGGATCCGGGCCAGATCGCCTCCTGGCATCACTGAAGGTGGCTGCTGATTGATGCCCACCTTGAAACCAGTGGGGCACCAATCCACAAATTGAACACAGGCCCTTGACTTCAAGGATGCAATTGCAGCATTCACATCCTTGGGTACCACATCTCCCCTGTAGAGCAGGCAGCAGGCCATGTACTTCCCAAACTGAGGATGACATTTCACCAGCTGGTTGGAGGACTCAAAGCAAGCAGCCGTGATGTCCAGTATGGAGAGATGCTCATGGTAGGCTTTGTCAGCAGAGATGATGGGGGCAAAGGTTGTGATGGGGAAATGTATCCTTGGATAAGGGACTAGGTTGGTCTGGAATTCAATTAGGTCCACATTCAAAGGTCCTTCAAATCGGAGAGAAGCAGTAATGGAAGACACCACCTGACCTACCAAACTATTGATGCTGGTATAGGAGGGGCGTTCAATACCGAGTTTATGATGGCAGATGTCATAGATGGCTTCGTTGTCCACCATGAAGGTACAGTCTGAGTGCTCTAGGGTGGAATGGGTGGTGAGGATGGAGTTGTAAGGCTCTACCACAGCAGTGGATATTCTAGGGGAAGGATAGACAGAGAACTCCAAGAGAACTCCAACTTGGTTTTCCTGCTGTACTCTACTGAAAGCTGCTCCATTAAGAGAGGTGTAAATCCTGACCCGGTGCCACCTCCAAAGCTCCGGAAAATCAAAAATCCCTGAAGTCCGCTGCACTGTTCTGCCTACAGAAAAATGTATAGAGATAAGAACTCAGCCACCCTTATAGTGAATTGGATGGTGATGGCAGGAAGGAACAAATTCTCAAAAACACCACCAAGAAGTTTCTGAAAATCCTGGCTCACCATAGCTCCACAACAAATGTAACTCCTTTAAAATACACCTTGCGGTCCTTTTAGAATAGGGGGAAAGCCTTTAGAGTATTTCTATGGGTTAAAAAAACACTGCCTAAAATTGCCACCAAGCTGTGCATAAGGGATACATAAAGCAAATATGGTTTCTGTGTTTACACACGTTTTGAGTTCATACTCCTCAAAATCTCTCTACATACATACATATAGATATAGTGTGTATATGTGTGTGTGTATGTGTGCGTGTATTCAAATATTCCACAAATCTTTCTTAAAAAAATCTAAAGTAGTCTGGTCCCAATCATCTCAGATAATATATCAGCCTGTAAGAACAAAGCATCAATAGTCAACTGTTTTTCATTACCCTCGACAAACTTATCTGCATGTGACCTAAAGCAAGGCATTAATCAATCATAAAGAAAAAAATGAGCAAAATATTAACCAAAATATCCCCCACTGACCCAAAATAGACAAACTGTTATCACTCCAACACACTTCATCTATGCTACTGATGTAACAGGCACTGTTACCTAACAATGATGTCAAGCCACATACTTAGTAAAAGATTTCCTACTTCTGGTTCTCACATAATAATTAACTATCAAAAATAGAGTAAATAACCTACAGATAGAATGTGGTCTCCTGGGCTGGGAAGGTGGCTCAGTGGTAGAGCGCTTGCCTTGCATGCTCGAGGCCCTGGGTTCGATTCCTCAGCACCACATAAGCAAAAAGAAAAAAGCCG